ACATTGTAGAACGTGCGCCAGACGGCCTCTCGCCAGAATGCATTATTTTGCAACCCATTGATTTTGAGACAAAACTCGTTGGATGTGTCAGTAATTTCCAAAATGGAGCATCTCATCCGGCCATGAACATTAATACGCTTCAAGCCTCCTTCAACGGAAGGATTATCGGCTCCACAGGCAGCATCGTATTCCTTAAATAATGTCGGACCATCAGGTCCCATATCATTGAGTCCACCAGTTGTTGCACCGAAAATGCTTATTGTGTAACCTCGCCCATCATTGATGTTTTCACAATAACCATAGTGTTGTGTCCAATCGAGAGAATCCTGTTCTGGTTTGTTTATAAGCTTCATGATATTGTCCCACTGTTCACCATTGAGGTCTGTATTCTTCTGCAAGAACTGGAGGATTGCAGGCGTGAAATTAGCATCGTGGGAATCCCTATGTGGACTGCCTATTTAGAAAACAATAAACGTAGAGAAAAAGAAATGAAGTGACCATACTTCCTCTTCCTTCAGGCACATTCAAAATTTGACCAATTTGTAATTCCTCAGGTATTACACCAGGATTTGCAGCGTATATTGCTCCGAGTGTGCATTCGTACTTTTGGCTGAGAGTCCAAAACGTATCACCTGCAACGATTCTGTGTTGTCGCATTATTGTTCTCTTCTCCGCTTCACAGACCACATGCAAGTAGATGTATCTACCTGTTCGATTCTCTGAAACAAGAACTTCGGCAATATGATCTTCTCTGTTGGTGAAATTTGTATGTCTGTGTCACGCTATGAAGATATGACTTTGTTAAAAGAAATTTCATGTTATTTATTTACATTCACTCTGGCTACTATGTATGTACGAATCATGAAGCACAGGAAGGGAAACAAGAGAAATCACATACATCTTTCTTTGGTTGCTGTCTCTCTTATTACTTGACTGAAACGATAAATTATACCTAATAATGAGACATCGATTATATAAAGACTCATGTCAAATGAACATCATGTATCAATAATGCATCTTATTCTGTCTCTTTTGTCGTTTCTACAGAAGGTTGCACAAGTCATTTATCTAAAATAATTTTCTATAACATTTTTACATATAAAAAAAAAGTGTATGTGAACATCCCTACTGACATCTACAGCCTAACAAATATTTTTCGATCGACGGCTCAAAAGAAAAGCCAATCAATGGGATTAATTTTATATTTGTCTAAATCCTGTCTAATGTGTAGATCATACTATCGATATGTGTGCGTTAGCTAACAAGCTTTTTTTTCTTCTTCTGGCATTACTCTGATATGTTACTCACCACAACGAAATGAACAAAATTTAATGTATTGAAAAATTATTTTGTCACAGGCTTCTTGATTAGACGAGATGTTGTCTATATCACACTATTTACTTGTTTTGTCAAATGGTTTGCTTTTTTTGTCTTTGCGACAAAGTAACTTGTTTTGTTTCTCACCAATCGTAATTTTGTGTAGTTTTCTTTTTTTATTTTTCTTACTGCATACTCTATTGAAAATTGATTTACACAACAATCGCTTAGCAAGTTGTATACAACGAAACTCATGTACAAAACGATACGCTTGAGTGGTTAACACATAATAAATCGTGCACACGAAATGAAAAGACAATATATACCTATGTTGTGTTTCTCTTATTGTTACTTGTATCGCATATATACACATTTATTGTTAAAATAAAAGTAGGAACGAGTGAGTCGTTCCATTAGAAAATCATTACATCAAGTGTAATTTACTGATCAAATAAATGAAAACTCATTGGCTCGTGTGATTTTCAAGATAGTTAAAAATATTCCAGAAAAATAGTTTAAAAAAAAACATTTGGCAATTTGTTAGAAAGAATGGAACTTTGCATAAATAATCATGGCGACTATTTTAAACATTTAATAAAATAAAATGAAAAATATCTCTCTATTTTTATTTAATGTTCTTAGAACCTTTGATCAACCCTAAGTAATAATTAAAACTTGAATTCAATTAATCAACTTAATATCAACTATTCAATTATTGAATATTTGGAGGTAAGCAAAACTCTTTAAGATGGAGGAGTTATAAGTAGAACACTCAAGGAAGGGGTTCGAAATCAAAACTCTTTGCAGCAGAACCCGTAGTGAACGGGAGAGGGAAAGAGGTGAGAACAAAACACTTGGTACATGTAAATAACCTTTTATATCGACTCCACGACCTGGAAGTATTGTAGAACCGTCTGGAGAGCTGCGTCTCATACTATAATCTGTTTACACAGTAATGTGTATCATTGGCTGATACCATGGAATAATCTGAATACTTGCATACTTGAAAATGACTTCAATAATTGAATTAAATTTCAATTATCACACTATTGGAAACACTATTTCATTAATATTAAAAGTATATAAAAGTTGTTTTTTGTTCACTTTTTTGTTACATAGAGTTTCAAGTATCAAGAAGGAAAATATAAAGTCAATGCCAATATTTTACAATCATTTGTCAATGATTAAAGGTAACATAGGCTTCAGACTAATCTCGTGATATTGTATGGAACACAGGACGACTAAGGCAACCCTTATTTGGATTGTATGAGAATTTAAGCTATTTAAATGCTTTGAGCACTTTTGTAAGCGTCTGACAACGGAGAAGAGATGGTATTCGAAATACAATTAGTTATTTCAAGTTTCGCTACTGCTTTGGCAGGATTCAGAATGGCGACATAGAATACATTTATTTGACTACTCATATATAACATAATTTCTACATCCTGTTTGATCCAAAGGTGAAACTTGACAAAGTTCATTCATTTGTAGCAAAAAAACTAGTCGAATCTGATGATTTGAATAGTCGACACTGTGTTCAAAAATCTCTGATGCATAACAACATAGGTAGCATATTGAAATCTGTGAATAGTTTTTCTTCGCTTTTCGACGTAGTTTCTGCAGATTACTATCAAGATACAATGCCTACTCTACTCCGTATCTGATAACGTAACGACGATCAAACAAAACTTGCTTGGCTACCTAATCAAAGAAAGTTTAGGCTTTGTTTCATGTGAAACTGCCACTGTTTACTTTTGAAGGAAACACAATAAATGAAATAACAATGTGTTTGCTTCATCTTTGCACAACGTTCTGCTAAGATACGAAACAGAACGACAAAACAAACTTGAGAATTATGACAACGACTGTTTATTGTTGTCATTGCTAAGAACACTTACAAGGTGTTCACCTTACTAGAATGAGAATGAGTTGAAAAATTTGAATACGACCAGTTCGTTCAATTAGCAATATCGACATAGCTCACTTGACTACTTCGAGTTCAGTGCAAACTAGCAAAAGTGTAGAGACCGAAAGTGCGCTATGAATTTTCGACGTAAAATATTTTTGAAATATGGGCCATGTTAACGAATTTTAGAGTGTGACTAAGCAAGTCTGTGTGTGGTAACTGAGGCTGAGCGATGTCAGAGCATACAACACACTCTAACTTACCCCTACCTACTCTTATATCGTTCATCCTCAAACATAGATTCACTATTCGAAAATACAAATCGAATCAACGAAACCTAGATTTGTGTGGCCTTTGAAATTCTTGTGCCTATACTTTCTTTAAAGTGGGTAGCTGCGGGTGTGAGTATATACGCAACTCCTGCTTTCATCACTATTCACACTCATATTCACATTTCCTATTCATTGAGAGGAATGCAGAAGTCAACTTTAATTGTTTGGTTGCATAGTTAGACGTTCAAGTCGAGGAAAATTTGACGCGAAAAATGTTATCGTCTTTCATGTTCATTGATGAGAATTTACTGAGCTCGCATTTTCATTGCCGTAAGCACACTGAAAAATCATATTTGCTTATGATTAAACTTAATGATCCGATTCACTTCATTGGATCTATGCTTTTTTGCTAGTTTAATGGAGTGATAAAAATGTCATTGATCACTGTTTATCAAAGTATCTCTGGATATTGTTATGAATTGTGAAGATTACGAGTATTTTGTTCATAGTCGCGCATATTTGATGACTTCATCATCTTCCGTGACCACGTACATATTATAATTCGAGTCGAAGGCTATATCCATGGGTTTCGTCGGTATGGGTGAGGTATCACCCTCTCCAACTACAGGAATACCCACTGTTGAATTCACACAATACATCACTACTCGATCATTTGTTTTATCGGCAACAAACAAATTTTTAGATGAGTCGAAAATGATACCCTGCACTTCGCCAAGAGTAGTTGTAGTGCTGTTTTTAACTTGCGTAAGAGTAATATTTGGCGATGATGCGCCAAATGTCCACAAATAGATACATTTTTGACCGGAATCACTTAAATAAACCTGATTCGATGACCCAGGAACAAATACAATTCCTTTTACACCATCAATAGCAGTGCTACTAATTACAGGAGTACCACTGGTTGCATTTGCAGTCCACATAATCACACGGTTATTTTTCGTATCAACGACATAAAGGTTCAAATTATCATCAACAACCATATCTGTTGGGTCGTTCAGGTCATCAAGCCCAGTCCCTGCTTTACTGCTTCCTGCGACAGTTGTACCCGTGAACGAATTCGGAGGAAAGCGGAGTACCTTATCAAGATCATGACTTGTAACATACATGTTTCCATATTTGTCAAAAGTAAGCGACTGAGCGTGAGAAACATCGGTCGCACCTGAACCAGCAGTAGTACCAGCCACTGTCACACCACTTGTCGCACCTTTGGTCCACTTTTGAACACGATCATTATGATGGTCACAAATATAAAGTGTGTCGCTTGCATCAATATATATACAAGATGGATCCTTGAACTGATTAGCAGCTGAACCGTCTTTGTCGGTGCCAGCCACCCGTACCCCTGTCTGATTCCAACGAAGGTTAGCACCTAAAACAATATTTCACACTGCATATATATAACCGTTGCACGAAAAATAACTGACATGGATCGTAGACAGTTGTAGTTGTCGTTGCTAAAAAGAGAAGTAAAAATTATAGTTTATTTATGATTTAGCTTTAGATAATACTCGTTGTAGTGCTGCTTGATGTGGTTGTTGTTGTTGTTGTTGTCTTCGTCGATGTTGTGCTCGTTGCTTGAAGTTTTATAGCAAAATTTATTATTATCACATGTTACACATTTCTACTTACAAGTACTGGTACTGGTACTGGTAGTAGTGGTCGTTGCTAGATAGAGAGATATAAAGATCATAGTTTGTTTGTGATTTAGCTTTGGATCATACTTGTTACAGTACTGCTTGATGTGGAGGTAGAAGTTGTTGTTGTCGTGGTCGATGTTGTGGTTGTTGCTTGAAGTTTTATAGTAACATTCAGTTTTATCATGTGTTGAAGATTTCTACTTACAAGTACTGGTACTGGTACTGGTAGTATCGGTCGTTGCTAAATAGAGAGATATAAAGATTATAGTTTATTTATGATTTAGCTTTAGATAATACTCGTTGTAGTGCTGCTTGATGTGGTTGTAGTTGTTGTTGTTGTCGTGGTTGTAGTTGTTGTTGTTGTCGTGGTTGTAGTTGTTGTTGTTGTCGTGGTCGATGTTGTGCTTGTTGCTTAAAATTTTATAGCAACATTCAGTTTTATCATATGTTGAAGATTTCTACTTACAAGTACTTGCAGTGGTGGTCGTAGTAGTTATCACTGTTTTCGCTTGTATAGCTAGTAGATAAAAAGAACATTATGTCGAATCATCTTTTGAACATTTTAGACAAAGTTCAGGACAAAAAAAAATGAAAATATTCTTTTTCAACACCAATTAATATATTCTTTGTCTTTACATAGTTCTCATAGAGCATTGAACAGACGAATTCAAAATAAGCAAAGAAAAAAGAATAGCATATTCATGTATCAACTGAATTTATATCTAATCAAACCGGAAATGGTACATGCTAAATACACGTTAGTTTGCCTATGTTGCATGTATCTATCTTGTTTTGGAGGTTTCTTAGAGTATCAATGCAGATTGACAAATTTTTGAAAATCTGGACAAGAAATATAATCGATGGATATTCTAAAGATTGACACGATATTTATGTGTCAGTTATTAATTCGAGTTAAGTAACAGAAGCATTGAATTATTTATGACAATGGGCATAATATTGATTATCAATCAATTGCCAGAAATGGCTTTGAAGCATTGCAATTAATCTATTTAATTCTTGTACAAGTACATACCAATGAGAATTATAGCCGCCACGAGTGCCGCGAGTAAAATACATGCCAAAATAGTAGCTATCAGACAGTAGCAACAGCATCTCGTTATATAGAATGCTCCACGTCTTCTGAATCACCGTATATTTAATTCAAAGTCAGACATTATTGAATAAGAAATAGCTTACCTTTTGCGCTTCTTTCGCTTCTTGTCCTCGTCACCATTATTTTCCCGCACATGATCATATCTAGGGTAATTGTGTTTAGTGAAATATTTAGTGGTTTGACCTAGTGTGCCAAGTTTCTCTTCTAGTGGTGCGACTTGATTTCGACTGACAGCAGATGATGAGCGATTGTGTCGTGATATAATATATACGGCGTCAGACTATAAAATAAAATATTAGTGCAGATAAAGTCGATTCTCCACTTTTCCCATCAAAAACAAAAGTATCGACACTTTCATCATAATTATTCGCGAAGCAGTAGTTTAATAAGCCAATCCATTTTGTTTCTTTTTATTGCTTAGTCACCGTTTACATATTTACATGTAATTTAATCTCGCACAAGCCTACATGAAGATGACGGCGTATGTAAAGAGTGAAGAAATATCTTGTAAGAAGATAGAACTTATTACATCTACTCTAATTCTTTTGAGAATAATTCTCATCTACTCGTTACTAAAGAATGGACAAGATATCCATCTGATCAAATATAAAAAGTTGTTTTACGTCAATTGGTGAATTGGTATTCTTGCCATGTGTGGGTACATCTTTTGCCCTGCGATGAGTTCTCAATGTTTGATTTGTCTTTTGCGCATGGACAGATGAATTTAAGGCCTGGTTCTGGTTCTTCAATGATAGATTTGGTTTTTGATCAAAGCTGCTCGGCCAGCTAGTTGTGTTTGCTTGAATAGAAGGGCGCATTATCTGCCTCTGAACATTGTTTGTATGACTCGGTTCCCCTTGACAACTCTTCGATCGACTGATTCTTTGCACTTGAACAGAACGATGGTTCGTTCTCTCTACATGAGTAACTACTTGCTTTTCCTAGTTAAATTACCGATTGCTAAATATGTAGTTGGTTAGATATCAATAGATACATACGCATAATAGTTGTTTACTGACACGAACTACCGTTGGTCTACGTGTTCCAGATGCCATTGAAGATGGTTTCAGATCGATTTTTCTTTTATTCGATAAGCTTCAAAAAGTTGCTGTGTAAGTTATGCAATGAGATTTTGACAAGCAAGTGTGGAAGCTTAATCAAATAAGACAAAATCGTGCTGTTCGAGAATTGTTTGAAGAAAGAAAGAGTGTCATGTAGCTTAAATTCAATTCAATCATGCAATGAAAGAGAAAAAGTTTTCAATCGTCTTTCATAACTATATATAGCATAATTCAATTTCGCAAACAATATTTTATTTGAAGGAACTCATAAGTTTTTAACAAATAATGCAACTAAAAGACAATATATTTTATGTGTAAATAAGCTAGAACAGGAGAGAAGAAATGGTGTTCTCGCTCGCTGCTATCAACAAAGACAACAAAAAATATTACCGAATTCTGTTGTTGAATGTGACTAAAGGCTTGCTCTGCTGATCGATGAATGTTGTCCTTAGTTAGGAAAAAACGATTGCTTTGTTATTTGTTCGATAAAGTATGGTAGAAAGAATGTGGCATGATCAGAAGAAAAAAATGACTCATTACTAAGAAGGTTCACGGCAGAAGACAGAAATAAATGAAGCTAGAAACTATTAACCTGTAAATGATGCTGCCGTTTGAAGACTCACCTATTTCTACAAACAGGAAGTTTATATTTATTGTAACAGTTTCAAAAAATGATGTTAGACACAACAGAAGTACTTTTTATTTCTGACTATTGCAGCTCTTTGTTTAGCGATCGTATATATGTATTTATTTCTTAGTTAATAATAAATTTCTTCTTACACGTTTGCGCGTATTGCTTTTCACTAGCATGGAGTGTGAGAAAAATAGAAAGCATTGCGTTGATGTTGATTTATGCATGAATTAATAGAAAAGAAGTACTATTGTTGCTCGGTCTGTTTCTCATTTTTAGATTTGCATAAAATAAAAATTGAAAAAGAAGCCGTAACACTGATTCAGTTTCTTTGAGAATTTGTATAACTATCGAGCAAAATTCAATTACGACATCGAATATATTTTATCTGATATTCGATTACAGTTATTAATGAAATTTTTTAACATGAATATCAATATGTAAAAATGTTGCACTCTATTGTTGCCCACATAGAAATAGTAGAAATGTCATTGATCGCTATAAAAAAAGAGAATCCGAATGTTGTTGAATTATTATTGTGAAATGTCTTACAACAACAACTTCGATTATGAACTGATTGATTTTTCGGTTGACAATTAACTGTAAAATATTCGACTTGTTAAATTCAACTGTGAGGAAAAAAGTGAATAGTCAGAAGGAACAAAATTAATTGTCTTTTTTATAAATCCAAACATTCAACCTTTCGAATTTATATTTTCGATTCCATCGATGAATGAAAAATGAAGTATCGTTACGGATATACTTGTAGGTTTCCTTACACTCACGCCCACACTCATACCCCAATCGGCATCAAAGTAACTTGGCAATAGTAGATGCAAAACATGAGCGCCTTTTGTCTGCCTATTTTTAGTTAGTTGTCCATTTTTTCTGCGTTGATCTTTCTTCGTCTTCTGAATGAAAAAAACTTTCGAAAAAAATGAGAAAAAGCCTGGGATTTGCGAAACACGATGGCAAATAAGACTGGTGGAGGAGAAAGGAGAAGCAATAAATCTATATGAATAGAATAATCCACCACTCTCTTTCATTAGCATTCATTTTGCCTATTTTTTCAAAACTGGCCAGCGTTCGTACAAGAAGAACAGAAACAAACCACCAAAAAGGAGTTACTACATTTCAAAAGTGAATATTAGCCAGTAGCCTTCGTTGTACGAAACCATCTGAGTGTAGAGACATGAATTCCTAGGTTGAAAATGATTTTGAATCAGTGTGGGTGTGAGCGTGGTATGGTTGAGTGGATAGGTTGACATGGTGTGGCCCTCATCTTCATCCACATTCAATTAGTGTCCTGTAAGAATTGCTTTTGTCAAAGCTTCTCATTCCATTATCCACAAGAATCTAGGACGAAAAGATGGAAACGACAAGGATATTAAAAAAAAGACAGCCTATCAATTGCTTTTTTTCATGTAAATACTCTCCAAAATTTGCTCTTTCTAACGTTAAATTGACAAAGTCAATCCAGTGTTACGTTGTTGAGAAATAGATTCCGACATTGGTCGAACAACTTGCAAATTACTTATTACATGAAAGAAAAATAACGAAAATCCATGAACAAAAATCAAATAAATTCATTGATTATATATTGAATTCTAATTCAATCATTATAACTATTATTCTCTCTGTGATTATCATCTTCGAAAGTACTATTAATCCGATTATCTCGTAATATACTATTATTATTATCTTCTTTTGAATACTGTCTTTTTTATCGGTGTTGTTGATGGACTAGTCTGTTTTTCTCTTTTCAATTGTTCAACCCACGAAGAAAAAAAACTCTCGTAATTCAATATTGATCAATTTGAATCTGCAAATAATAATGATTTATTTTATTACAATATACCTACAATGATGATTTTATTTTTAATTTAAGGCTATCTCACGTCACGTAAAGTGTGACCTTGACAAACGCTAGTATCTAATATGATAACTTTTCTCAAACACGAAAAATGAAATCGTGATAAAAATCTGAAAAGTGTTACGTGACCCCGAAGGTGAAAACGGGCATTGCGAAAAGTCGTTTCCGCAGCACACTATATCCAACATTCAAAGTAACACGTGCATCAACGATAGGACTCGATTAAAGCATCTTACTACAACCCATACAATGTGAGCTAAACTATCAAACATGAGAGAGAGAACAAAGTTTTCCAATTCTAGAACTTAACAACTAACTTTTTTGGGTAATCATAAGTTAAGATAGAAAGGTCAATTATCACTTCTTAGTACAGAGAATAAGATTAAACAACAGGTCTCATATATATATGAATTTCTACTAATTTGTCAATTCAAAAACTTTTCGCATTGATTCAAATCTCTTGTGCCCAGTTGTTTGCCACTCTGCAATTCAAGGGTGATGTAAATCTTATGTACAACACATTTTTTTTCTTTCACCACGTATGGCTATATGATATTTCACTTTTCAATCACTTAACACATTGTATGAGACACACGGAATATATCACAAGATGCAGCATGAATAGTTCTACAATTTACATAAGACCGCTTATTTTATGTATGGCCGCCTTTTGTTTTCAAAATGGAAAAATGTTTGAAGTGTCAAATATGATCGTGCGGAAAACATAACTTTCTGGCACATGACAAAGTCCTTTTCTTATTTCTCATTCACTCTTATATCACTTGCTAGAGAAGGTACATACAAGTGGTCACATAGTATTATGTGCCATTTGGAAACAAAGTTGGATACAGAAAATAAGCGGTCATATGTAAATTGTGGAACTATTCACGCTGCATCTTGTGGTATATTCCGTTTTCTCATACAACGTGTTAAATGATTAAAAAGTGAAATATAAAGTGCAAGCATTTATTCTGCGTCACTCGTTATAATCTAATGCAACTAGCACATATACTAACGAAACACATCTTATCGAAAGCTTATTACTATGACATTATCTGAAGTGTGACCTAATAGCATAGAAAAATAGAACATCCTTTTCTCTATTAGCCTATAAATAAAGCAAGTTTTTTTAGAGCCTTTTATAAGGAATTATCGAACCTTCTCGACTACTTTTGAATTGTCCGAAGATATATTGCTTTTGAGATGATTATTTTCTCATTAGGCAGGATCTATTAAGGATACAAACGAGAAGAAGCACAATGAGATATTTCGGCATGAATATGGTTTCCATTTCGATATCATCCTGAACTCAAATACTGACGAGAAAACATTTCCAGGTGGTTTCGGGCTTATTTCTGAGGAGATAGAACGTTTGTAGTGAATTTTTGCTATAGGACCCAAGATTTGCAGCAAGACCATATTTTTGAATTTTGAGCTGAAGCTTTGACCACATAAAGATGTGAGTGAGACTAACTTGCATAAAAAAGTTCAGAGCATTTGAATTACGTCTCTCTGAGATATAAAGCTATCACGATGTAGACCGACTTCAATAGATCATGCACATAACACGTATTTTTTGAAACCTTCATATCTCAGCAAGATGTAATTCAGACGCTATGAAATGTTTTATGCAAGTTAGTCACAATCACACATCTCTATGTGGTCGAAGCTTCAGCTCAAAATTCAAAAATATGGTCTTGCTGCAAATGTTGGATCCTATAGCGAAGATTCACTACAAACGTTCTATCTCCTCAGAAATAAGCCAGAAACCCGTACTCATTTTACCATAGACATAGCTCACTAACGGCTACAAGACGCACGAAACTCCGTCTGAAAAGCATTCCGACACATGGGAATGTGTCCTCGTAAGTTCAGAATAACTTGCAACTCGGAAAAAGAATTCTGATCAGCGTGCCATGGCTAGTTGTCATTACTTGAGAAATTTGGTAGACCCGATAGATATGTAGAATACTTAGCTTCAAAACACGTCTAGACGTTTAGGTGATCTATCTTTTGAGACAATCATAGGTATTTGTGTATTCTGCTGAGAACCGTTTCAGTACATGCGTTCAAAAGGGTGTAGGTGTAGATATAGGGTGATATTGATATATTTTTGTAACTACTTTTTATCATATAAGATTTTAAAATAGTCTTAGACAATGACCCAAGAAATATTGAATCTGTCTGGTTATGTTAAGTATTTGCCACCACTTCTCAGAGTCATCCAGATTGTATAGTCATAACAATGGAAAACAAAAAAAAAACATTGACTACATTCGTCTACCACATGAAGGTGGTTACCCACCTACTTTACTTTTTTCTGTCTTTTTTGGCTTCATCGCAAAAGAATCCAATTACATTTGAAACTGTCGTATGTTCTTAGATCAACATACAATAAAAAGAAAATGCAAAAAAAGATGGTCAAAGACAAAATATACTTTCTTACTGTTTTGAATGGATTACAATGAATGGAAGATGAAAATTCGATGT